AAGAAAGAATTGAAATTAAAATTAGACATTAAAACACTTATCTCTAAATCAAATAAATTAAAATATATTATTTATTTTATAACTTTCAATCAGATTTTTTTATTCCAATGTTTCTGGTAATTAAATAAGATCATCCTGGCAAATCTCCACAAGTACACAGTCATCAATAACATAGGCACATTTTCAAACTTGTCAGTGAAAGATTGTGACAAAACCTGTGTATATGTTTGCAACAGTACCAAACTGAAAAGCCAAGTGTATTTAACTGTAAACCCACCTGGATGGATTGTAACATAAGGCCAAGTTTAAAATAGGAATTCCACATGTACATGAGACAAAGGACAAAAATTGTTCACTCCTTCTCAGTATTTCTCCTTTGGGGATGCCTCAAATTTGAGCGGTAATTCCAGATCCTATAAAGTAGAAGAGGTAATGGATAGGAGGATATCTCTATGGGACTGAGAATGTCAAACATCATCTTAACACTGATAGGGTTCTGACTGAAAGGCCAAGTTCCTCATTCATTCAAAATTTGGATTTTTATTAGGCAAAGGTATTTGCATATGCAGCAGGTGAAGCATGTAAGTTAGCTATGTCTGCATTCTCATTTCCGCCAATATGGCACCTGGAAAAACATACAGGTAACACACGGCCACTTCCTTTTCTTAGGTCACTAGACAATCACCTGCTATAACTCATGATATTATGACATGTTTTTGTGATGTCAACAAACACTCGTTTCCACTTTTGTGGTGCCAATAAATACTTGTTGTCACTTTCGTAATGCCCATTGTAGTAGAGACATTGTAATTGCAGATACAACTATAGTAATGCCTTTGAACGATGCTGGTGTCAGATGCCTTCGAGTAGCACTCGCACTAATGGTACTTACTCGATAATACTTGCTTGAATAGTAATCTGTATAGTGGTCCGAAAAGAGAAATATTATAGTGAATAAAATAGAGAATAGTGGTCCATATAATAATAGAAGATAGAGTAGAAATAGCAATCTGAATAGTAATAGAGGATAGAATAGAAATATGATCCAAATAGTATAGAGGATAGATTAGAATATAGCGATCCTTTAGACATTATGTGACTTACTATATATGCATTTCCTCTATGGTCACATGGTCTACTTAATTCAATAATGGGATTGCCTGTGTTTGCTCACTGGTGATCTATGTTCAAACTCAAGTGTCAGCAGCAGCACTTTATTTCTTTATAACTCATGTCAATTCTTGTTGAGTTATTTCATGGCAAATTTTGTATGATGCACCCAATGAGAATTGAAATAACTACTTAATAGTAATGGTCAACTGGACTAGCCTCACTAACTTAACCAAAGTCAAAGTACCTGGAAAGTAATTTTACTATGAAAATGCATTGTAAAGTGATTTTACTATGAAAATGCATTGGAAAGTGATTTTATTATGAAAATGCATTGGAAAGTGATTTTACTATGAAAATGCATTGGAAAGTGATTTTACTATGAAAATGTATTGGAAATGATTTTACTATGAAAATGCATTGGAAAGTGATTTTATTATTAAATGCATTGGAAAGTGATTTTACTATGAAGATGTATAGTAAATAATTTTATTGTGAAATGCATTTGAAGTGATTATATAAAACTGCAATAGAAATGATTTTAGTTGAGGCTGTTCTATTTTCTAACATGTTAACTTTTATTGATTTATTTCATGTTGAAGTGTATATGTGACACCCAGTAAGGAACAGACTCACTACTCATTCATAATAGTCATTCAGATTAGCCTCATTAACTATTAATTCATGCTAAGATGCTTTTATTATTTGTCATAAAATCTCCTTAAATAATGATATTAAAATATTTATAAGGAAATTGTCATTTTTTTGTTTCACTGAGCAATGTCAATAATAATAAATTTTCAATCTTAGTAAGAAAGCTAAGTAATTGAATCTTGTGATTTACTTAAAAATAAAATAATCAATCACCCTCACTCTCTCTCTCTCTTTTTCTTTGAATTATATGCATTTATTCTTTATTATCTTTTTACCCACAACATTAATAAATGATTTGTTAAATTATTGAACAAATAAATAATTTATCAGTAGAATTTCTTGAAAATTCATAAAATTATTTCATCTTAGGATTGCTAGTCAACTTATGAGTTGTACAAGTTCAAAAAAGTAAATACTTCCTTGACTGTTAACTCAACAAAATGAAAAAAAATGTAAAATCAATCAAAACATATTTATAGCATCCTGGATAAGATGATAAACTACGTCCAGCAGCAAGGCCTCTGATCAGGAGGTTTTGAAGAGTGTGAAACCACCTTTTAATTGCTGGCATTCCCAGGTCTACCCTGACCTGGGGTGGTAGTACCTGTTAGGGTCCCAGCTATGGGCAAATAGTTAATCCCGAAACTGAGGTAAAAAGCATTATAAAAGTGTAAAAATAGGTTTTAATACCAGAAATACTTTGTAAAAATTTATTACCAGAAATAAATTTTTGAAGAAAAAAAAAAAACTATTACCAGCTACACGTTTTTGGAAAAGTAATATTACCATCTATACGTCTTTGAAAAAATAATATTACCAGCTATACATTTTTTTGGAAAAAAAAATATTAACAGAAATAGATTTTTGACAAAACAAAAATATTACCAGGAAAAAAAATGTTGTCGACATTAAATGACCCATTGAGGTTGGTATGCTGTAAAACAAAACAAACCAAACCAAGCCTTATTTATACTGTTGTTCTCATCTTTATTGCCACATTCATGATGTTTCGGCCATTGTATACTCTAGCCTTCTTCAGGTGATATATGTTGGAATTTAAAACCAAACCCATTATTTAGTCCATGGGGATAGATTGCTCTAATTCCACATGCCATGACTTTGGATATCTCAGTTTTAGTTAATTTCCCTTGATAACTCAACTCTCCAAGTTTTTGTTCTCTCTGCAGTATCCAGGGATTGAACTCACAATCTATCCTTATGGACTAAATAAAGGGTTCAGTTTGAAATTCCAACAAATATCATCCGGAAAAAGCCAGAGCATACAATGGCTGAAAAGTTGTGAATGTGGTAAAAAAGTTAAGGACAACAGTCTGAACAATGTAAATAGTATAAATAGTTACAGTACCTCATCTCAGAAATATAGACAGATCTTGAAGAAGGCTGGAGCATACAACAGCCGAATGCTGTGAATATGGCAATAAAGATGAGGAAAACAGTTTGAACAATGTAAATAGTGTAAATAGTTACAATTCCTCATCTCAGAAATATAGACAGATCTTGAAGAAGGTTGGAGCGTACAACAGCCAAAATATTGGGAATATGACAATAAAGATGAGGACAACAGTCCAAACAATGTAAATAGTGTAAATAGTTACAATAGCTCATCTTAGAAATATAAACTGACAACCAAAACAGATTAATAAATAAACATCATAATCATATTCTGAATCAATGTAACTATTTAAAAATTTCTTTACTAGTTTTTATATTTTTAAATTGTTCTGATTCCCATGAACAATTTTAACTACAGTTAATATTGCCTAATGTTAGTATTAAAAAAGGATTTTGTAATTGGCATTTATTTACTTTACTGTGCATTTTATTATTATATTTCAATGTATATTTTATTGCTTTATTCTTTATACATTTTATTACAGAATAATTAATCCACATTATTACTATATAATATACTATACATTTTACAATTGTATACTTCAATGCCAATTGAAAATTACAAACATTTTATGACTCTATAATTTATTATGTGTTTTATTACTATATATTTCACTATTGATTTTGTTACTGTATACTTTATACATTTTATGACTGTATAATTTACTATGTATTTTTTACTATATATTTTTGTTATGTAATTTATGTCTGTATATATTATACATTTTGTGATTGTATAATTCATTGTAGATTTTATTATATACTTGATATTTTTCATAATTGTATAATTTACTAAATATTTTGCTATTATATACTTTATTATACAATTTACTACTATATACTTTATACATTTTATGATTGTATAATTTACTATGCATTTTATTACTGTATACTTTATATATTTTATGACTGTATAATTTGTTATGCATTTTATTACTATATAATTTACTATACATTTTATTACTGTAGACATTATACATTTTATGATTGTATTATTTCTATAAATTTTATTATTTTATTTATATATTTTATGATTTTTTTAATGATTTCACCCCAAGCAAAGCAATAAAGTCACTAAGGTGCAAGAACTTGCTGAGTTTTAGAGAATATAAGAAAAGAACACTTTTATATCTAATTCATTATAAATTTTACAACTTTATAATTTACTTTACTATACCTTTTAATACTGTATACTTCACAATTTTATTAGTGTATACTTTATATATTTTATGATTGCATAATTTTCTATCGATCTTATTACTATATACTTTACTATGCATTTTATTAGTGTAGACTTTATATATTTAATGATTGTATAATTTTTTATCAATTCTATTATTATATACTTTAATATGCATTTTATTATCTATACTTTACTACATATTTTATTACTGTATAATTTATACATTTTATCATTGCTTGTTCACATTACTGTATATTTTACAACAGAATGTAATTGGTAACAACAATATTGATGATAAATGAAAGAATAAATTGCTTGTCTTAATCCAAAAGAAAAAAACTGCCTGATAGTTATTATTCTAATAGTTACATAATATAACATAAAAGCAATAATAATAATAATAATTGCACACTAAAAACAATGGCTATGCATTTAAATTTATTATATGCAAAAATCAAGGTGTGTGTTTTTTTCCTCTCTCAGTTTGACCGTATTGAAGGATTATCTCCCTTGTTCTTGGCTGGTCGCTTAGTGTAAATGCTGCGCCTCGTTGCTGTCGACTCCAGCTTGAGTTGGAACAAGATGGCGACCATGTAATGGCACTGGGTAGTTGGAATATAAAGTCTTGGAGGTAGTTGTCATGTCTCGCCTGGCTGACTACTTCGTAGTTGTTGGATATGATCATGAAAAAGGACGTAAGTAGTCGATGGATTAATCAATTCGGATTTTTATTCCTTTCTTTCTGTACACCCAGCATGTTTCATCTCTAAAGCCGCCTCTGTGTGAAGAATAGTAGTTCAAAAATATAAGTAGAGAAATATAATTACTACTACTATTGCATTGCAGTAGTAGGGCCGGACCCTGGGGTGTGAATTTTCTCGTTTGTTTCAGATTTGTTCTTAGATTTCTTTAGGATATTGTCTTTTTTTTTTGCGTGTGTATGTGTGGGGGTGATTAGCTTCTGATCGGTTTCGGACCGATCGTGGTGACTAGCCGGAGATCGCCTCTTGTGGTTTTCTTTCTTTTTTATTTAAAAAAAAAAAAAACAAAAAACTGTTTTCGTTTCATTTGAGTGGAAGTTGGTTACAAAGTGGGGGATCACTTACAGAATTGACGACGGCATCAAAAAAAAAAAAATAACCATGTGAGAAGAAGAAACGAATATCGACTTTAAATGACATTCCACGCTCTTTGGCAATTGTTATATAAATAAATAAATTCCACTGGTTTATTTGCGTATACCCCCCCTAAAATACTTTTTTTTTTTTTTTTTTTTTTTTTGCCTGTTTTTAGAAATTTCCTGGTTGATATGTTTACACCCCCCCAAATCATCTATTTAATATACCTTTTAATTATTGAAAAAATTCTTTTTTCATTTATGAGAAACTGTTTTTATTACCCTGCTTCATATTACGAATAGGCCTTCTTATTTTTACAGTTTGATCAGGTTTTAAAAACAAAATCCCAAAAGACAATTATTCGCTAAAATGCAGAAAAAAAAAAATAACCTTGGAAATATCTGAGAAATTCCATGGGACATGAAGATGTGTGCTTCATCATATGTTCACTTTATCGTAAACTGTACTGAAGACATGTTGGATAAAAAACACTACTACACTTACAGTCTTATTATCTTCGGATTACATTATTTTTTTAAATTTATGGTTTCTACGCCTCTAAATTCAAAAATATAATTTTAAAAAATACGTAATTTAGCAATATGAAATTTGTTAAATATGCTTGTTTATTGTCTTTTGATATTCCTCGAAAAAAATTAAAAATAAATTTCAAATCAAATTCATTTGAAATTTAAAATTATTTTTATGGATCTTTTTACGTTTAACTTTGTCTTGATTTCATTTTAATTTTTCAAAGGTTTTATTAGTCTATTTTGTGTATTATTTTAAAAAAATAACATGTAATTATTGTAATTAGTTGAAATAATTGACATCTGGACCTTTTGTGAATAGGTTCGTTCGGTTAAACAAAAAAATCATTTTGGTTTTATTTTTATAATGATTATTAAGTAATGTAAATTAATTATATAGATAAAAAAAAAAAAAACTTTTTTTTATTTATTGATGTCAAAAAATCACCTAGGCTTTCTTTTATTTATTCAACCTGGGGGGGAGTGAAAATGAGTGCATTTAATTTTTAAATTAAAGAAAAAGTGAAAATTAAAAAAAGGAAAGTTTTTATTTGACGATTTTAAAAAATGTGGTTTGTATGGTCATAAAAAACTAAAAAGCATCCTAAAGTCACATTCTAGGCTAAAAATATTGTGACCTTCATTCCATTTTTTGTTTATTTATTTTTTAAACAAACCATTGAAAATATTTTAAATTCTCTTACTCCAAGACTTTAAAATTAAAAAGCTGATATAAAAAAAATAATGTCACAGATTATTTGCTTCAATGTAGACTGCAAAATAAACCATATTTTAATTTAAAATCCTTATCTTTATTTAAAATAAAAATAAACAAAATAAAGTTGGAGGGTAATGATTCAGGTGACCATGTTATCATAAGTTGTTCTGTACATAATATGGCATTTCACTCCTCTTCAGAATTTAGTACTATTTGACATATAAAGACTAAAGTGCTTTCCGTTATTTGTTTATCCCCCGCTCAATTTCTGCATGACGTATTTTCCTACCAGTGTTGTCACCCGTTAAAATTTAATGACAACACTGAATTATTGTGAAAAATAAGTTACTTTTTCAACCTTGTTTAAAATAAAAATACTTCATCACATCAAGTAACAACGACCATTTGATCTTTTTCTCTCTCTCTCTCGTTATTCTCCATTTGGTCATCATTCTTCCGTGTGTCGTCGTTTAAGGCGTGCCGTCTGAAGTGTTATATTTTCACAAGTCTGAATAATGTCATTAATTTTATTATTAATATTATTATTATTTACCCTTATTTCATACAACGAATCCTTAACTGTGTTCTTTTAACTTTATGGCTTAAAAAAATTAAGCGGAAACTAAAACGATTTTTAATTTTTATTATTGAAGTTTGTTCAACAACCACTGCCTTCTTTTTGTCAGCAATTTTAAAACACGTTATGATGCCTACTGTTTTTTTTTTTTTTTTTTGTCTATTGTGAAAATTAAACAAGAAAGGAAACTTCTTTTTCACAATCTTGAATTTACTGGTGAATGAACAGTTCAGTTTAACTAAACAAAAAACATTAGTTGAAAAGATCATCTAAAAATAAGTTTCAGATTTTTGTGAAAAATTGAATTTGTTTTTTTAGTTTGTGTGTGTGTGTGTGTCTACATTTCGACCGATCAATTCTCCGATCCTTTTTGAAAGAGAAGAATAAAAATCACACACTTCAGTTGTCCGGAATTAAAAAAAAAAACAAAAACAAACAAAAAATAAAATTATAAACCCCTTTATTGTAATTTTTTTAAAATTAATTCAGATTCATATAAAAACAAAAAAGCAAAACATTAGATGATTAGAGCCTAAAATAAATGGCAACAGTAAAGAAAGAATAAGGTAGAAAAAGGTTAATTAAAATAAAGTAAAAAATGTAATTTCAATACTGAAGTAGTCAAAAAGTAAAAAAGCAATTTATAATCATTTTGTTTTTACTTAATTTTATTTTTTAGTTAATGTTTCAGTGGCAAAACGCAAATATTTGTCTTACTAGAAAAAATAAATGTCCTTTTCGTCTTAAAATTTAAAGCGCAGTTATTTTGTGTGTTGTTCGCAATTATTGCACACAAAAGCACAGACTTCAAATTCAAATCATAACCGGTTTAAACAAAATGATAAAAAATATTTTTTTCTGAACAAACACAATAAATATAAAAATGGTAACATTCACCATGTGTTTTGAGTGCAGTTAAACACCTTTCCATTAGAATCAAAAATCAAAATATTTATTTATTTTACTTTTAGTGTTATGGATTTTTAAGTCCGATATTTTCTGTTTTTATACGTTATTTTAATTAATAGATACAATAAGTAAATGCTCTGTTTTTTTTTTTCTTGTTTTTAATAAACAGTATTAAAAATTAACAACTAATCTTTCCCTATATTTTGAATTAGGAAGAGATAGTTGTTCAACGAGAAAAGAAAACTAGTGTATATTTTAAAAAGAGAAGCCGCAAACGTTTTTGGTTAACGAACCGTTATAATGTGGATTTTATTTTTTTTTTAAGATATATTTTCTATATATTCCATAAATTATTTCTAGTATGTTGTTCGATTAATCAGGATAATTTTCTATGTCTGCATTTTTGTTTATTTTGTTCCATTTTTCTTGTTTTTTTTTTTTTTTTGTCATTAGTCGTGACTCGTGAGATTTTGTAAATTTCTTTGTGGCGAAGTAAAAAAAAAAAAAATTTAACAATCATAAATGAAATGAAAGTTGTGATTTTTTATTTTATTCTTTTTTTCTTATAAATGATTCTAATTCTAATTCTTTCAAATTATTTGGAAATTGGCTTTTAAGTGCTTTTTCAGCGGAATAACAATTACTTTCATTTAACTTTCATTTGAAAAGTATCACCTTTTTTTTCCATCTACCGTTTAAGTTTTAAAATTTATTGTCCCCGGTATATTTCTCAGAAAAAGGTTTTAAGTCCTTTAAATTAAATAATATTACAATACAATCCTTTGAACAGCTGTCTGCTTCATTATTTGTGTTTAAAAACAAAACAAAAAATAAATACTTTTTTTGTGTCATGGCGTTTTTTTTTTAATACAATAATACATCAATTTTTGTTTTATTTATTTATTTATTTAAAACCCGAATAAATGCTTTGTTTTTTCTTTAATTATTAAAGAAAAAAAGCATGCAGACCGTCTTGCTGTAAATTTGTTTACAATGACATGGACACCGACAGCAATGTCACCTGCTCCAATCTTCATTCACTGACATCGAGTAAAGCGGGCCAATGGCGCATGTTATTATTGTGTAGTGCTCCCTTCTTGATCCACAACGTTGACATGAATTAGTCTTTTCTTTTAGGACAGACGATGTTTTCAAAAGAGCCGTCATTTCGTAACCGTCCATATATTATCAGTCACTAAAAATAAAGCTGCCTTTTCAAAAGAGATGCGCCTAAGCTTGGCTGTTTTTTTTTTTGTTTTTTTTTATTACAAATAATGTCGTTAATCTCATTTCCTTTTCCTTTCATTTTCTTTTCTTACTGATTGAATTTAAATCGCTTGTGTTTTAATTTTTTTAATTTTCTGTTTAAATCCTTCTTAATCTTAGGTACCTTTTGTATACTACCCATTATTTTAAATGTCATTTTTATTTTATTTTTCTTCTTCTTAGAAATGAATATATTTTCCTCTGTTTTGAACTTATCAGTTCTGAAAAGATTGGCATGTAATTTTTAAAAAGATTATCGTAACCAATGAATGAATCGGTTGCAAAAATGATTGCCTTTGAAAGGAAATCTTTTTACATCCTTTCTTTCATTATTGCCTTCCTTCTCTTTAGGTCCCTCAGGAGCAATTAACATTCATTTTCAATTTCCCTACAAGTAGTTGATGATTCTATTTGTAATAACGGATTTTACAAGCACTTTGGTTTGAAAATAACCTGTGAGGTGTGAGCAAACCGAGCCATCTTCCAGCAACGTGACTGGTTCGTTAAGAAGAAACGCTTCTCAATGAAAATATTTTAGCAGAAGAGCAATATCCGAATGTAGTTGTCATTATCAGAA